TGTGGGCTGGACTTTTCACTAATCAAAGGTGCCAGAAGTGATACTCTAGCTGTTTCTACTTTTGCTGTTGGAAACCTGACATATTTTCAGACCAGAAGCTTAAGTGTCAAAAATCCAGACCCTGTACTCAGGCTGGATGCAGCTTCAGAATGACCCCTGCTGACCTGAAACTAAAGAATCATCCAGCTGAAGATTGCAAACCTAGAGAATCATGAGAAGTACTGTTTTATTTTTTTGGCCACGCTGAGTGGCATATGGGATCTTAGTTCCCTGACTAGGAATCAAACTCATGACCCCTACAGTAGATGTGCACAGTCTTAACAATTGGACTGCCAAGGAAGTCCCTGGAAGCATTTTAAACCATTGACTATTTTGGGATGGCTAGGCATACAGATAGATAGCAGTGGGTAAGTGAAAAAAGGACTTGAGATTAAAGGACCTTCTGACCTTTTGAGAATCTAATAAAAGTATTGGGGTTTTTTTTTTTTTTTTAAAGAAAAGTGTACATAAATGCAGATGTGCACACATTTGTATACGGTTCAGGAAACAGACTGTGAAGTCATTTCTGAACTTGGGTTAATAAATAAACTGGTTTGAGAAAGCTCCAGTGAAAAGGCAGGAACCTCACCTGCCTGCCTTCACAGTTGGGCTTTGTAGATTTATTTTGGTAAATGATTGCCTGTGATTGGAAACCAGATGTGCCCAGTGGAGGACCTCCACTTTGTGTAACTCCAGGGGAGCACTATTCATGCAGTGGCACCCACAGACCCAGTTTAACCCTGGTTGATATCTCAGCTTCCTGTCAAATTGCCTCTCAGGTCCTTGCCTAGCCTTAGAATTCTTAGTCACTACCTTACAGAAGTAGATCAGGAAAGGTGAATATCCTGCTATTAGGAAAGAGCTCTCCAGTTCACCTGGAGTTCATGTGGCTTCCCATTCTTGGATTAAGTTCCCATTTATCTTGGCTTTCAAGTTTCCATAAGTGGACTCCACCTGGGTAGTTTTCATCATTCTCCTACACAGCCTCCACATGCAGCTGGATTAGTCTCTTTTCCTGTTTTCATTTGGGAAACCTCCATGTCAGCATTCCCCCAAGTGAAGTATTACAGGTAAAATGGGTACTGTAGTCAAACTTGGAAAACATAGTTGAAGTTGCATATTGATGTTTCTTGAGTTCAGGGCGTCTCAGAACCTCTTGAGATTTTCCAAGAAGGAGACAGAATGTAACGTTTCCTAAAATGGTCTGGAACGATTCTCTGGAGACCAGTATACTGTGGGGCAGACATTTATTTGTTTCTTTAGTACTTACTGAAATGGCCCAACTAAGAATTCCTTGTGAAGACTTATTTTTCTGCCAGAGACATGTCTGTAATTGTGGCGGAGACCTAAGTCATTGTAGGGGTCAAATGTGCTTGGAATGAAGGACCCTTCCCTCAATCCTGGCTCTGGGATTTCTAGTGCAGATTGAGGGTCGTACTTGTGGAGGTAATTTGTCTTAATATATTCAGTCATTCATTTGTACACAAAAGATTCTAGAACTTGGTCCCCTGGAGCAGATCAGCATTATATTCCTAATTGTGATCAGTGCCCTGAAGGACAAAGGACAGGTGTTGGGTAAGCATAACTGGAGAGAACTAGCTGAGCTTGGTTATCCAGGAAGCCCAGAGTGAGAAGGGAGCTTGCTTTATCCTGGGACCTGACATGACTGGGTTAGCCAAGTGGGTGGGGAGGCGAGGCGTGGGCAGCGTTCCCAGAGGGAGAGCCTGAGCGCAGATCACAAAAGCTTGTGAGCCTCTGGTGTGCCCAAGGCTCTGAGAGAATGTCTGGTAATGGCTGAGGGGGTGGAGGAGAGGATCAGGGAGCACAGGTCCTTAAAGGCCCCAACAAGAATGTCAGGTTGACCTAGGAAACTGAACTGTGGCCAGTAGGGGATGGACGGGTCCACCATGTTAAAAGGTCCTGCTCTGGATGGAGAACAGCTAAGGTGGGAAGCACGGATGCCTGTTCAGGAGGCTGCTGCCCCCTAGGCAAAGGAAGATAGTACCTCCTGTGAATAAGCATAGTGAGAGCAGCAAGAAGATGAATTTAGGTATATTTGGAAGAACCACCAACTAGGGGGGAGGTGTTTAGACGGGGCAGTGAGGGATGGGGAGCCGCTTGCAGGTTTCTAGCCCACAGCAGGGTGTGTGGCAGTGCCGACCATGGGGCTGCAGGTCAAGAGCTGAGCGTTTGAGGACCATGCATTCTATGTGAGTCCTTCGTGAAAACCCTCTCCAAGGGCCTCTGAGCTCTATTGCTGGCACTGGGGTAAAGACAAATAAGCAGTCTGTGTACTTGATAAACCCTGTTGTTGAGATAAACAATTTTATATCAGATATGTGTGCTGTGGTGGAAGAATTTGCAAAGTGCTGTGGGAACTCTGTGGAGGGAGTGAATGAGTAGTTGCCGGGTTGGGACCTCTGAGTAAGAATTCACCAGCATGGGAAGGGAATGGCATGTGCAGACACCAGCTTGAGGGGATGTGGTGGGTGTGAAAAGGGTTGTTGGAGAGCAAGGGCTCCCTTGAGTGAGTACATCTCCTTTGCCCTCTGTGGTCGGTAGTTCTTCAAGGACAAATTCCAGTCTCCCTCCCTGCTCCCAGTCCCACCTGAGGGCCCAGCATAGTGCCAGCCAAAGAGGAAACTTACTGAATGGTCAGTGGCTTCAGCCAAAGCTTGAATGTCTCCAACTTCAAACATGGCGCTAAAATCTTCAGTTCTCTCTTCTGCTTCTTCACGTTGAGTTGTCACTGAACCACCTCCCAGGACCACAGCTGGGCCAGGACTGGTCCCCCGTCACCTCCCTGAGATGTGGCCTTTTTCCTTACACTAGAGCTCTTCAAATGACCAGCTGCCTCTGACCCCAAAGCAGAGTGGTCTGTTGAGGGGCCACTTCAACTGAGATGAGATGAGAATTGATGAAGGACCTGGGCCCCAATTCTCCAAGTCCAAAGACACATGAATTTGAGTCCTTGAGGTTATGATGGTGGGTAGGCAAGGGCTACCTGTGTCCCAAGCCTGTTTTCCCACCTCAGTGAGGACCAGGGCTATTTAGCATTTCCCTTTACAACTCTGGAAGAGGTCTCTTGGCTGCTGACATGCCAGGCCCCTGGGCAGGGTGTTGAGCCCAGGCCACCCCTGTCCTCTGCCCTGCACCAGAGAAAAAATCATTCGCTCTTCATTGGTTTATTGAACCCTTGCTGTGTTATGGGCACAGGATTTAGAGAAACGGGGGTAGGAAGTCTCGGTCCATCCAGTGAGGTCCGGGTGTGTGTGGGGTCATTAGCTAGCTTACAGTGGTGACAACAGTGCATTTATGCACGACCGCTGCTTGAGACCCAGAGTCCTGGGAGGAGCCCAGTGAGTTCAGCGTGGTGGGAGGGACACATGGTGAGCACAGAAGACACGCAGAAGAGGGCTGGCCTGGTCAGCTGGTTGGCTGCCATGTCCAGGTAAGGAGAAGGGTTTCGTCCTCTGGGAGGCGTGGGATGGGGGCTCTCACTCTGACCCATGGTTCTCATCCTCTTTGCCTGGAAAGAGTGCTGCACATAAGCAGTGGTTAGGGGAGCCTTGTCTGCCTCCTCCATTCTTGGAGGCCTTCCCTGGTTATCCACTCAAGGCCCTCCATTTGCCCAATTCAGGTTTCTCCTGAATTGTTATTTAAGGCAATCAAATTCCGGGTTAATCTGGCAGAGCTTCCTTTTTCAATCATAAATGCCTCTAGAGAGTGGATGAGCCAACCCTCCCTAATCCTCTCTAAAGAAAGGGGGTGGTAATCCAGCACTTAAAATTCCACTGGCCCTCTGAGGGCCCCATGAAGTGCCCGGACTCTGGGGAGCAGGAGACTGTTTAGTCCTGGCTCTGTTACCAGTTCACCGTATGACTTTGGGCAAATTGTTTCCATCCCCGAAAAATTATTATTTCTGAGGTTCCTGCCAATGCTTTGCATGGAGGGATGTGCATTTCCACGTTGGCACTGGGGTGACTTCCATGGCCCTTTGAATGAAATGACTCAAACACTTAGGAAAAACTCTTGGGGGAATATAGAGAACTTTCCCACCTTGATTCCCAAGAGCTTCTGTTGGAAGGAGCAGGTATTCTATCTGGGAAGCTAGAGAGGGGCCCACAGGTCTGCAGCTCTAGGGGGAGAGGTCAGGATTAAGGAAGCAGACTGGAGCTTGGTGTCTTTTAATCAGCTATGTCACCCCCTGCCCTTCCTCTTGAGCTTGCTAGCTTGAGCTATGAATCTTTCCCTAGCCTGAGTGACTTATCTACTGATTCATTTACCTTCTTGTTTATTTATTGAGCACCCCCTTTGAATGCCTTTGTGGTTGTGGCCCAGGCCAGAAGGCGGCAGCTGGTAACCCCTCCCAGAGTGATATTGCCTTTATTTAGGTTGTTGAAGACAGAAAATACCTTAAGACTCGCTAACAATCAGGGAATAAGGGGAATGTTCCAGGGTCTGGAGAACGACACACCATTCTCTGTGGCTTCAGCTGGCCCTGAGAGTGGGGAGCAGAATGTTCCTGTGTGTGCTGGTGGAGAAGCTATCACCTACCTTCTGTAGTTGCTCCTCCTTGCTCCTGGACCACTGGTTCCCCCTGATACCCTGGTGATGAGAGGAGACAGAGAAGAAAAAGAGAAAGTGAAGCAGAGGAAGACTGTCTTGGGAACCAAGAAAGACAGGGCCAGAACTGGGGACTCATGAATAGAGTAATTTCTCTAGAAACTGTGGTTCTTCATTCACTGATTCATTCATTGATTCCTTCCTCTTTCTCTTCCATTTTCCCTCCCTTCTGCCCTTCCTTCCACAAATACCTCATGAGCGCCTCTAATAGAAACTGCGGGGACAGAGGAGACGGCAGACTTTCACCTGCCCGTGGGGTGGTTTTTACTCTGGGGACATCAGCCATGTGACCCAGCAGAACAGTGCAGGGCAGTGTGGCAAGTAGGGCGCCATGCCTAGGCCATGAAGACAGGCTCTGGGTAGGGCAGGTGGGCAGGGAAAGAGAGGTAGAGCTAGGAGTCCCCTCAGTGAGGGTGGCCGGGAGGGTGTGTGTGTCTTGCTCCTGGGAGCACTGAAGGGTGGTGGGTAAAGGCTGGTTTGTATTAATTTCGATTTTCCCTTTTCACTGAAGGATTTTAGACAGGGTTAGGGTTTTCAGTTTTAAGGTCCTTCTGGATTGATGAGTTTCTTCAATTCGGCTTTAGACCCACGGTAATTTTGAACCTTTGGCAGAACTGGATTCATCGCCACCTTCTCATCCTTGCAGGTGCTCCCTAGGGACGCATAGACCACCTCTCTAAGGAAACAGCCAGGAAGCCTAGCATGCAGCCAAACCACTCCGGCCCCACCCTCGACAATGCCCACCCTGGCCAGAGCGTCTCCCCCACCTCCTTGACAACTTGGTCTTCCCCAGGGAGCACGTGGGGGAAGGTGTGGACAACACTTACCTGTTCCCTCTGACTGGATGGGAGGTGTTCCTGGGGGAAAGAGAAGAAATGAGGGTTGCCCTGCTTCCCTGGGGGTCCAGTGAGATGAAATGGCTCATAGTTCTTTGGGATCCACGCCTTTGGTGGGTGTCTGGGGGCTCTGGTCACCCCCTGTTGTCCTGGTGTGACTGAGCCCCACAAGGTACACTCTGGGTAGGAGGCAGTTTAGGGTAGTGGGAAGTGTGCGTACTGTGGAGTCTTTGCCTGGTGCGAGTCGGGCATCCTTGGGTAAGTATTTAGCCTATGTGAACCTTAATTTCCCTGCTGGTGATAAAGGGGATATTATGAGATTTTTTTTTTTTTTTGGTATTATGAGATTTAATCACAAGTGAGCACGGTGTTCAGTAAATATTTCCCGTATACCCCCACCTCCTGCTTCCTGGGTTTCTGGATTTGGAAGAGACCTCTGAAATGGCCCAGGCCAAAACTCATTTTGTAAAAGAAACTGAGGCCGAAGTTTGGTCACAGGTTAATTTTCTCTATTTTATCTCATGGTGCATGTACCAGGAAGATTTTCTCTTATTTTTATATATATATTTTAAAATTACAAAAGCAGTTTCTGAATAACTGCCCACTATGAAATGGTAAGGTAGAGGTTAGTGTAGTAAAAGTCTCCCTTAACTTTTGCTCTCCCTCACCTTCGCTTCCTATCCAGATGTAAAACACTGGTGACAGTTTGATATTTATCCTTCTGGAACTCTCCCTATGTTTTCATGTGTGTGTGTGTGTGTGTGTGTGTGTGTGTGTGTGTGTGTCTGTAAGTATGCAGTGATTTTTTTTAAACATTTAGGCTCCTATCTTATGTATTGTTATATAACTTGCTTTTTCCACTTAGCCAGTATCTTGGAAATCTTTCTCCATCTTTCCACAGATCTGCCTCATCCATTTCAATGGCCACAAAGGCCATGGATGTGCCAACTTCCCTGGTGGTCCAGTGGTTAAGAATTCACCTTCCAATCCAGGGGACTCAGGGTTGATCCCTGGTTGGGGAACTAAGATCCCACATGATACAGGGTAACTAACTAGGCCCATGCTACAACTAGCGAAGTCCAAGTGCTGCCAGCAAGACTCAGCACAGGCGAAAAAAAGGCCATGGATGTGTCTAATATATTTTGATTATCCCCCCATTGATAATTTTTAGGTTATTTTCACATTCTTGCTACTTGACACAAATACCTCAGGGCTTATGTAGCAATGGCATTTCTATTTGATGGATTTCCTGAAGCGAACCTATCAGTCAGAAGGTATGCATGTTGCCAACTTTGATGGATATTGCCAACATGTCCTCCAAATGGACAGTGTATTAAAGTGTATGAAAGTGCCAGTGCTTTCATATCTTCACCAAAACCACTTTTAAAAATTTAGTTGTCAATAAGAAAACTGCTCTCTGTTCAGGCTTTTTTAATCTTTGTCCTCCCAGGATAGAGATTTCACATTGAGAGTGCCCTCAGGGAACATAGATCCATTTTAATAATTCTACTTGAACCAAACAGAATCTCATAGAAAGCTTAGTCTTAGGCTTTACTCACATCAGAGGCAGATCTCAAGTTCCACCACCTCTCCATAGTCCTCCGCAGTATCTCAGGAGGGGCACCAGCAGGGTGCAAAATATTTGTCCCCACCCGTAGAGTCGCTGCACTCCCCAGATGCTGGGGTGGTTTGTACCTGTTGCCTGGCATAACTAACACTCTCTGAAATGTCCTGATTTGGATAACAATTGATATGGACACTGTATCTCATTCCATGGCATGAGCGACCCCTACTGGACTGGGGTAAGGGATGCTGAGTCCTGGGCTTTAAGTTAGGGCCTCCATTTGGGGTCAGAACCCACCCAGAAGCCTTCCTCCCTGGGCATCCGTCCACATCTGTCACTCACCTCCTACCTGCTTCCCCATTAGCCCAAAGAACTGGCTTGCTTTGCCCTTCTTCACCTCTCGGAGCTGAAGTAGGATGCTGGGGATGACATCTTCCTGAAGAAGCAGAGAGTTCCTTAGAGTTCAGGGGAGGCTGACAACAAGACAGTCTCAACAATAGCAATCTCAATGACCCATGCTCTGTGCTGGCATTGATCTCACATTTTATACAAATAAATAAATAATAATAATAACAGCAGTAATAAATGGCTAACGTTAAAGTGTTCCTAAGCACTTTCATATATTAACTCAATCCTTACCAAAACCACATAAAGAAAGTACTATTTGGGTCTCCATTTTACAGATGGAAACTAAGGCTCAGAGTGATTACCAGTCAGGATGTGAGATGAAGCCAGACTCGAACCCAGGTCCTCTAACTCAAAAGCTCAGACACTCCAGGCGTAATCTCATTCACGCTTCACAACCACCATGTTAATTATCCATTTACAGATGGGGACACAGGTTTGTGGAGATTAGGCGAGTTGTCCAAGTTCATACAGGAAGTGATAGAGTCAGAATCCAAACTCAGTCTGACTCTAGACTCCTGCTCTTCTCTCTTCCTCTGGCACTCCCCTCATTGTCCTGGATTTAACCTGGGCCTCTCATGGCTTGTGGCCCGGGGCGGAGGCCACTCCCTCAGGCAAAGACATTTTCATCCTTGAGCTGGTGGGGTGAAAGTTCTGGACCAAGGACTATAGATTTAAGTTCTCATTTCTCCATTAACCTTTGTGACGTTGGCCAAAGGCCTCTCCTTCCCTGGCTTTTACTGGAGCCTCTGATGAAGAGCCTGCTTGGCTCTGCTGAGACAGAGAGATGATTGCTAGTGGAGAGAGTGATAGTCGGTGACAGTCATTAGACCATCTCCATGTCTTTGTATCCCCAATACCTGGCATAGTGCCTGGTACACACAGCAGCTCAGCATGTATGGGATGCAGGATGGTGAACGAAAGGCCCTTTCTCTGATAGTCTGGGAATAGGGAAGAGGATGGGGTCTCTTTTTCCAGGAAGGGTGGGACAGGTGACCAGAGCCCTAGAGTAACACAAGCTGCCTGCCTGGAGGCTGGCAGCTGGGGTTGGGTCATGGGCTTGTCCATTCCCAGTTTCCCCAGGGGCAGCACTGAAGCTTCAGGGACAAGAGGGGGTCTGGTTGGGGTGCAGTGGAAACCGCCTTGGCTCTCCCAGCGTATCCCAACTTCTGGGATCAGAACTGGATTGTTTTCTAAGCCTTGGACTAACTCAGTCACTTTCAGTCTGTCTCTTCTCCAGGACATCAATGTCTGGGGCAGCTGTCTCAGGCTGGAGTCATCTAGCCTGGCCAGGAACCGGAAAAGTGTCTTTGGGGATTTGGACCTATTTCTGAAAAGCTTATGAAAGGCACTTTGGCTTGGTAAAAGGCAGTCTTCAAATGCAAGCTGGACAGAATGTTTTTTTTCTCCCTCCCCTCAGGTTTCTGGGGCCCTTTAGGAGGCTTTTTTTACTTAGGAAGGACTCTTGCCCAGACCAGAAGCCCTTCTTACCCCTTTAACTCAAATCCCCAGCTCCAGGCTGCAGCCCGGGAGTCCTGAGAGCAAGGGAGAAAATCAGATCATCCCTAACAGAGGCATCATTCCTCATTCAGATGAGGTGGTTCCTATATCCCAAATTCTGTGTCTTGGGAAGCAGAGGGATGTTAAACGAGAGTGAGCCAAGAAGAAGCATCAGATGCAGGTGCAGCGTGGAAAGTCCCACGAGGCACTGGTTGAAATTGATGATGTTTCCCATGTAACTGTGTAGAGTGGTCCCTGTTACACAGCTTCCCAGTGCCTGGGCCATGTCCCCTCATGTTTGGCACAGACTCCATGTCAGAGCTGGAAAAAAAACATTGGGGGCCATCTTCCCCGCCCCCCACCTCCCATTTTACAAGTGAGGAAACTGATGTCCCCGGGTCACACAGAGTCAGTGGAGAAGCTGAGACTTGAAGCTTCATCTCCTTAGCCTGCTGTCTTCTCAATGGCACACACTTCCACGTTCAGACAAACCAGGAAGGAAGCCCATCAGGAGGAAGGCCACCAGGCATGGCTGTATACTTGATGGCTCGTCCTGCAGCCCTAGTGTCCTCACCGTCCCCGGACCAGGGGGACCAGGCCCAGCCCTGTCCCGTCTGCCCTCCTGGAGGCTTTCCCTTAGCACTTTGCCTGTGTATCTCTAGTCCACTGGCCTCATCCCCCTGTCTGATGGGACCCTCCGAGGTCAGGATCTCTGCCTCTCTGATCAGATGGGGTGGGGCACAGACGCTGTGTCTAGCTGTGAGATTTCTTCCCATTGACAGCACTCAGGTCAGCTTAGTAGGAGAGGCTGGTAATCAAACCATTTCTTATCAGGGAATAAGTTTCTACATGTGAGACAAAACAGTGATCCCACTCCAAGTTGACCCTCTTGAAAGGACGTGCTGGACAATGTCTCCGAGACACAGATATACAGAGTAAGACATTGGGCAAGGTGTAATATTGGATGAGCGGCTTGACCTTTCTACGCTTCAGTTTCCCTATCTGTGATATGGGGGTAGAATGGTGCCTTTCCCACAAGGTGGATATGAGGATTAAATGGGTTAATATTTATGAGGCCTTTAGGACAGTGTCAGGAACATGTATATGTTAAATAAGTTTGTTAAATGAAGCATGAACACAGATACTGTTCACACACACACACATGCTGTTCACACACACACACACTGTTAATTCCATATGCCACTGGGCCATTCAGGTATGACATAAATAAAATCCCTTACAATTATACAGGTGAAGTGACAAATAGATTCAAGGGATTAGATCTGATTGAGTGCCTGAAGAACTATGGATGGAGGTTCACATTGTATAGGAGGTGGTGATCAAAACCATCCCCAAGAAAAAGAAATGCAAAAAAAAGAGGCAAAATAGCTGTCTGAGGAGGCCTTACAAATAGCTGAGAAAAGAAGAGAAGCAAAAGGCAAAGGAGAAAAGGAAAGATATATCCATCTGAATGCAGAGACCAGAGAATAACAAGGAGAGATAAGAAAGCCTTCTTAAGTGATCAGTGCAAATAGAGGAAAACAATAGAATGGGAAAGACTAGACATCTCTTCAAGAAAATTAGAGATACCAAGGGAACATTTCACACAAAGATGGGCAAAATAAAGGTATGGACCTAACAGAAGAAGAAGATATTAGGAAGAGGTGGTAACAATAAACAGAAGAACTATACAAAAGAAATCTTAATGACCTGGTAACCATTATGGTGTAATCACTCACCTAGAGACAGACATACTGCAATGCGAAGTCAAGTGGGTCTTAGGAAGCATCACTATGAACAAAGCTAGTGGAGGTGATGGAATTCCAGCTGAGCTATTTCAAATCCTAAAAGATGATGCTGTGAAAGTGCTGCACTCAATTATGTCAGAAAATTTGGAAAATTCAGCAGTTGCCACAGGACTGGAAAAAGTTTTCGTTCCAACCCCAAGAAAGGCAATTCCAAAGAATGTTCAAATTACCGCACAATTACACTCATATTATAGGCTTGCAAAGTAATTCTCAAAATTCTCCAAGCTCGGCTTCAATAGTACATGAACCGAGAACTTCCAGATGTTTAAGCTGGATTTAGAAAAGGCAGAGGAATCAGAGATCAAATTGCCAACATCCATTGGATCATAGAAAAAGCAAGAGAATTCCAGAAAAGCATTTATTTCTGCTTCATTGACTACGCTAAAGCCTTTGACTGTGTGCATCACAACAAACTGGAAAATTCTTAAAGAGACTGGAAAAACAGACCACTTTATCTGCCTCCTGAGAAACCTGTATGCAGGTCAAGAAGCAACAGAACCGGATATGGAACAACGGACTGGATCCAAATTGGGAAAGGAGTACGCCAAGGCTGCATATTGTCACCCTGCTTATTTAACTTATATGCAGAGTACATCATGGGAAATGCTGGACTGGATGAAGCACAAGCTGGAATCAAGATTGCAGGGAGAAATATCAATAACCTCAGATATGTGGATAACACCACTCTTATGGCAGAAAGCGAAGAGGGACTGAAGAGCCTCTTGATGAAGGTGAAAGAGGAGAATGAAAAAGCTGGCTTAAAACTCAACATTCAAAAAACAAAGATCATGGCATCGGGTCCCATCCCTTTGTGGCAAATAGATGAGGAAACAATGGAAACAGTGACAGACTTTATTTTCTTGGGCTCCAAAATCACTGCAGATGGTGACTACAGCCATGAAATTAAAAGATGCTTGCTCCTTGGAAGAAAAGCTATAAAAAACTTAGCATATTAAAAAAACAGATTATTTTGCTGACAAAGTTCTGTCTAGTCAAAGCTATGGTTTTTCCAGTAGACATGTATGGATGTTAGAGTTGGACTATAGAGAAGGCTGAGCACCAAAGAACTGATCCTTCTGAACTGTGGTGTTGGATAAGACTCTTGAGAGTCCCTTGGACAGCAAGGAGACCAAATCAGTCAATCCTAAAGGAAATCAGTCCTGAATATTCACTGGAAGGACTGATGCTGAAGCTCCAATAATTTGACCACCTGATGTGAAGAACTGACTCACTGGAAAAAACCCTGATGCTGGGAAAGATTGAAGGTAGGAGGAGAAGGGGACGACAGAGGATGAGATGGTTGGATGGCATCACCGACTCAATGGACATGAGTTTGAGCAAGCTCTGGGAGATGGTGAAGGACAGGGAAGCCTGACACACTTCAGTCCATGGGGTCATAAAGAGTCGGACAGGACTGAGCAACTGAACAACAACAAAATATGCTTGTATCTCTTTGGAGGTCTATCAGGCCAGGGACGACAGCCTTGAACATGCCCAGAGAGGGGAGGCAGACACCCTACCACGCAGTGTACAACCTGCTCTCGCTATTATGCCCTGCTCCCCCCAAAGGTACCTACCTCCAGGGTCACAGCCACCCAGGAGCCCACTTCAGCATCGACTGCCAGTTCCTTGTCACCTGCCACAGTGCATGCAGACAGCCCCAGGAGGAGAAGCAAGGTGACGCAGAGCAGCATCTTGGGACCCTAGGGGACCCCTCTCAGCCCAAAGACTGCCTCAGGCTTGGTCCTCTCTCTGGCTCCTCTTAGCAGGTGGGGGAAGCTCCACCTGTTCTGTCCTTTCAGCTACTCAGCCTCTTCCTTTAGCTTATCTGATGCCCCAGGCCATTTCCTGTAACTCCCCACCCCACTTGCTGGAAAAGCCAGTGATATCATGAGCTGCCCAGAGAAGGGACCAGGCCTCCTCCACTGCCGCCCCCAGCAGCTGATCTTTGTTGCAACATCACCTTACCTTTGGCTGCGTTCCCCCGGGAGGCAGGTGCACAATGGGGCAGTGTGTAAGGCCTAGTGCTTTTGGCTTCCTGACTAGAAGCCCTGAGGGGGCCTTGGCATCTTGGAAATGGAGAGGGGGAACTGCCTGGCTTCTCCCTTCCCCTGTAGGAGAGGCCTCTCCCCAGTAGTATTCTAACACTAGTCTTCCTTTCCTGTCACTGCACCCCTTCCTTGGCATTCCCCGCCATGTCTTGCCCTAAGAGATCAGTTTAGTTCAGTTGCTCAGTCGTGTCTGACTCTTTGAGACTCCATGACTGCAGCACGCCAGGTTTCCCTGTCCATCACCAACTCCCAGAGCTTGCTCAAATTCTTGTCCATCGAGTCAGTGATGCCATCCAACCATCTCATCCTCTGTTGTCCCCTTCTCCTCCTGCCTTCAATCTTTCCCAGCATCAGGGTTTTTTCCAGTGAGTCAGTTCTTCACATCAGGTGGTCAAATTATTGGCGCTTCAGCTTTAGCATCAGTCCTTCCAGTGAATATTCAGGACTGATTTCCTTTAGGATTGACTGATTTGGTCTCCTTGCTGTCCAAGGGGCTCTTAAGAGTCTTCTCCAACACATTTCAAAAGGATCAATTCTTTGCGGCTCAGCTTTCTTTATAGTCCAACTCTAACATTCATACATGATTACTGGTAAAACCATAGCTTTGACTAGACAGAACTTTGTTAGCAAAGTAATGTCTCTGTTTTTTAATATGCTAAGTTTTTTTATAGCTTTTCTTCCAAGGAGCAAGCATCTTTTAATTTCATGGCTGTGGTCACCATCTGCAGTGATTTTGGAGCCCAAGAAAATAAAGTCTGTCACTGTTTCCATTGTATCCCCATCTATTTGCCATTAAATGATGGGACCCAATCTTTCCTTTTTGAATGTTGAGTTTTAAGCCAGCTTTTTCATTCTCCTCTTTCACATTCCTCAAGAGGCTCTTCAGTGTCTCTTCGCTTTCTGCTATAAGGGTGGTGTCATCTGCATATCTGAGGATATTGATATTTCTCCCTGCAATCTTGATTTCAGCTTATGCTTCATCCAGTCCGGCATTTCTCATGATGTACTCTGCATATAAGTCTTGCCCTAAGAGATAAGGCAAGACTTAAAAAAAAATACAAGGAGGAATTGGGATTTGCCAGAAAAGTGGCATCCTGCTCAAATGTCATCAGCTCTAAAATATCTTCCCACTGCTGTAAAAGTGGTCTTTTCAAAGCCCTAACCTGACCCGTCTCTCCCGCCTTACAACCTTCCAGTGTCTCCCCGTTGCCCATGGTGTAAAGTTTAAGCTCCCTAGCATGGAACTCAGGGCCCTTCTCCACTTAGTCCATCTAACGGATATAGAACAAGGGCCCTGTGGTCAGAGAGCTGTGAATTCCATCCCCAGGGCCCTCACTAAATAGCTGTGTGACTTTAGGCATGTTACTTAGAATCCTCATCAGTAAAATGAGATTATTAATAGCATGTATTTCCAAAGTTGTTTGAGGATGAAATTAGATAATGCATGTGGAGCACTTAGCACAGTGCATGATGGTAAATATTTAATACCCATTAACATTATGGATGCTGGGTGAGGCACTGGGCGACAGAAGATGAATAAGGCACCGTCCCTGCCCAATAGCATCTCACAGCCTCTAGGAAAGGAGAACTCTTGTTGGCAGACAAGCTGAATTCAGTTTGCTTGTGCCAGCAAGAGGTGGGGGGGAGAGAAGGCTGTGCTCCATGCCCTCAGTCTGCCCATTTCCTGCCCGCAGACAGCTTCCTCACCTGCTCCCATACAGGACAAGATTCCCCGCCCCTCCACGCTGTCCTTAGCTATTTCTCTGCCTGGACTTCCTTTTCCACGTGGTAAACTCCCATTTGTGAACAGTCTGCTTAATGGTCACGCCCAGCAGAGTTTTTCTCTTTCCTGACTCCAGCAAGAATTAACTGACCCCTCCCCTAGGCTTCCCCTATGTCTCCCACTCATCTCTCTCGCAGCTCTGCACAGGACGTGGGCAGAGGCTGTGCAGGTTGTATCCTGCGCTGAGAAGGCTGCTGACTGGGGGAGTGCAGGCAGAACCCGGCCCTCGCTCTCTCATCGTGCAGTACAGCCTGGCATGAAGCTTCACCCCGTGCGCGAAGGTGTCTGGCTCCATTTCTCCCACAGGGTCAGTTGGGCTGAGGACAGCCCTGCCACGCTGCTCTATTATGCCATGAGCGCTCCGAGAGTGGGGCTGTGATATATGTGTGCTTGGCACACAATGGGTCCTTAAGAAACATGCAGTCACTCCACTTCCAGGCCAGTGAAGGCAGAGATGTTATAAGGGCATGGAGGTTTGGGGAAGGACACACTACTTTCACTCCCTTTCAGGAATCTCCCTGGTGAATCCCAACCTGATAGTTTAGGGACCCCCTGGTGGTCCAGTGGTTGAGAAGCCTACTTCCAATGCAGGGGACACCGGTTTGATCCCTGGTCAAGCAACTAAGATCCCACATGCTTTGGGGCAACTAAGCCTGCATCATGACTACTGAGTCTGCTGTCTAGAGCCCATGCTCCGCAACAAGAAAAGTCTGAGTGCCACAATTAGAGAAGCCAGCATATAGCAACAAGGAGTCCAGGCACCACAATGAAGACTCAGAGCAGCTAAAATGAAAACACCCCCCCCCCCCCCAAACCCTGATGACTTCAGAATCCCTGCATTTGCTAAAATGCAGTTTCCCCAGCTCAGCCCCTTCTGACCTAGCAAACACTAGTTTGTGAGTCTGAATCTACACAGCCCCCAGCTAACTTTTCCATGGGCGGGACACTTAATAACTTACAATCCACTTTGGTTTTCCAGTTTTGTTAACAAGTTTTTCCTTACGGAGATGAATGGTCCCTTCACTTTACAGATCTGGAAACTGACACTGGATTTCACAAGCCAGCAGGTTGGGCTTGCTCTAGGTTACACTGAGAATTATTGGTTGACTAGCATCCCAGGTCCCCAGTCAGCTGCTTCCCATTTTCCCACAAGAGCAAGCAGTTCATGGCTGGAGGCAGAGTAACAGCATTCCCCTCTAGACAGGGGAGATGGCTTCCCATTCTGCAGGTTGAAACCCAGTGACCTTAGGACCCAAGGACTCTCTCTGAGCTTCAGTGTCTCCATCTGCAAATTGGAGCCAACCCTCATCTGTCGTGGTAAAGGTTTTATGAATGCCCACACTTACAGAGCTCAGCACAGTGACTGGCACATAGTATGTGCTCAGTTAGTCCTAACTTAAGTTTTATGATTATTCTACCTCTGGAACCCTGGACCTTAGCGCTGGTCTCCTGGCCCCAGTTTGACAGGGTGTGGTGGGGGCACAGCGAGGAGGGGGCAGGGGTCACGGGGCAGAGGAGAGGGCGGCGGGAAGAAGGGAGAGAAAATCCCGAAGGTCCGGAAGGCCGGGAGGGAGGCCGGGCACCGGCTGGAAACCGCGGCTATTTGCAGCTTTGCCCTCGGGTTGCGGTCAGGCTGGCGCTCTCGGCTCGGCTGCCGAGCCCGCCGCCCCGCCCGGTGCCCTCGGCCACCCGGGCACTTCCCTGGCCTGTGGGTCCCTCCTCGCCCGATCCTCGTGGCCCGGTGGGGGGTTGGGGAGCCGCTGCTGAGCCGGGACGAGGCCTCTGGAGCTGGCTGAGCGCGGGTCTGGGGCGGGGACGCGAGGTGAGTCGCGGCCGCGGCGAGGCTGCCCGGGCGCCGGGTGGGCGCGCACGATTGTTAAAGGCTGCGGTTTGGCTAAGATTGCGGAGCCGAGAGGAGAAAGGACGCAGGAGGGAGTACAGCTGGGGAGAGGGAAACACGAGCCGAGGGCGGGATGCGGGCAGGAAGCTGACGTTTCCTGAGCGCCGACTGCGTCCAAAGGAGGTGGAAAGACTGGCCCCACTTTACAGGCCGGCTTGGGGAGGCTGGGTGCCTTGGACGAGGCCGTCCAGCTGTGAAGCCGCGGAGCCCCGAGCCTGATCGGCCTCTTTCCCTGCGGCTGAGAACGCAATCGCAAGCCGGGGCAGGGGCGGGGCGGGCCGGAGCGGGAAGGGGACAGGGGGCGCTGGCTCTCTGGGTTCCCCAGCCTCAGAGGACGCCACAGAGACCCTGCTTCAGTCTTTCCCGCGCCCTTCCAGCGCCCCCATGTGGAGGCTCCTTCTGAAGCCCAATCCACTCGCCCACTCCACCTCCGCGAGCGCGTTTGTAGAACTCGGCGTGGGCGGATCTGGAAGGGGCCAGAGCTGGGTCCTAGTCTCACGGCCTGCCCCTTGGATAGAAAGACGCGAGGAGAAAGGGAGGCTGGGCCGCCAGAGGAGGCGAGCCTCCTTGGGATGCGCAGCGTGGTCGTTCCAGTGGAGGGGGCAGGGTGGTTCCTGGTACATGTATCCCTTAGTGTGGAATTGGGGCAATAGTCTTTGCACCCTGGGCTTGGACCCTTTCAAGGGCAATGGCTTAGTTTTACTGCGAATCTTTGAGATTACATTCATGCATTCATTCATTGATTCTGGATTTGATGAGACCTTACAACATGGGAGTTGCCACACAACACAGCTGAAAAACCAGACAAGCATTTTAACATTTTTAACAGTGTGGAAAGTGCCATGGCAGTGGTATCTGGGGGATAGAATAAAATCCTGGGCCCTCTTTACCCACATTTACAGTGTGGTTACAGTATGGGTACACTTCAGAATCCGCCTACCAATGCAGGAGATGCAGGAG